ACCGCTTACAAAAATTACAGTGTATGCAAGATGGCCCTAAACAAAGGGACAAAATCTTGGTCTAGTACATTGATTTGTCAATAAATAAAATTATAACTGCAATAAATATTAGAGTAAGAGACTGAAGGCTTGAGGAAATAGAATAAGATGGAATAGCGGCTGAAGTGCTGGTGTTGGGATTTTGAAGCACTGGTCTGGTCCCTGCAGGAGTTGTGTTTGGAACTAATGATGATTTTGGTGGAGATGTTGTGGGTTTTTCAGTATCAGCAGTAGCTTCAGGCCCTTCTATAGTTGGTGCTGCAACAGGTGGATCAACTTCTGCAGTTGGTGCTGCTGATGCTTTAGCAACTGAAGAATAGAATTAAGTGGCGGCTTTTAGCATTGGAACTTTTATCACAACTAATTTGATATCGCATGTATAATTCTTTTTCTTTCATCGTGCTCTATTTTCGCTAGGTTATATATATGACTTTGTGTGTAATATAAATAAGTTGGTGGTGCAACATTACCTCGTTGACTACGAGGAGCAAGAGCTGGAGGAAAAGCAGCAGCACGATGGTGACGAGGAGGATAAGCGGGAGCATGATGGTGGTGAGGAGCAGGAGCAGGTGGTGGCGCAAACAAGGCCGGACCTGCCAAGTTTATCATCAAATAACCAATTAATTAATGACCTAAATATGAAGTTAGCCCTGTTGATTGAAAGAGAATATGCGTTATCAATTGAGTAAAGAGAAGGTTTGGTGATAATAAAGTAACTTCAGGTATATCCAGCAGGTTGTCCAATTAAGTACTGTTAGATAGTAATGACTTTGGGATTGGGACGTAGTTGATTTCATTGGTACAAATTAATTGACAGAATTAAGATAAAGTTACTGAATCTGTGAGTCTGATAAGGTTTCAGTTGCATGTATTGAAAGCTTTAATACCTGGAGGTGGAAGGGGAACCCCTGAGGCTGCAAATTAAACAAAAGAAATGAATTTAAAACTTTGGTCATAACACATAATACCAAAGAGAAATTCATGATCCTTAATAATAAATGAGTTTACCACTGCACTGAACTGGCACACCAGTATTACATGCTTGAGGAAGCGAAAGTGCCAAAGTTCGAATAAATGGTATGGAAACAGGAACATTTCCAGTAACCATGAGACATACACAATCTATGCTATCACTCATTGATGATTTAAGTGAATTGCAGCAATCTTCAGTTGGTGAAGAGCCATTGCCACTGCTTCCAGTTAGGTAATTAAAACAAGGGGTGAATGTGCTAAAAATTGAACTTGTACACGCCGTGTTTATTTGACCATTTAGCATCTTAAAAGCTGAAAAAGTTAGAAGGGTTAGGAAAAGAACATGTGCTGATGCAGAAACTTTCAAAATTTCCATCAGTATCAAATTTGATAAGTCCAAATTGATCTTATGATCTGAATAGGTTAATTTCCAGATGTGGATGTGCATGCAAATTTGCCAATGATTTATAGTTTACATTGTTTTAAAGATTCCTGTAGAAGGAGTAAACGGTAGATATGAAATTTGTGGCTTGGAGTTAAACCGCTTTGACTCATAGTGTAAAGTTGGCATTACCAATTGTTGATCCAAGACTTTGGCTTAAAAAGATGGGTGTCTTAGGTAGGACAGTTATACTGCTTATAGCTAGTTTTCCCAATCTTAATTTTCCAATCTAGAATAATCATATTATTGGACTTTTCATTGGTTTACAATGTTTTTTTAAGGACCAGGGATTTTCCTATTTCTTATTTTTTCCTGGTTTCCACAATTTTTAGCCTCTCTGACATGGATTTAAGTTGTATACATATACTAACCGGGTAATTAATTATTATATTATCAGTGTATTTTATTACGATTATATAAAATTATTACTCTATTTTCGAGTTAGCATATTCGAATTGATGCAAAAAATTACTTATTAATGTAGGTCAATTTTATCCAATAGCATAAAAATATAGGTCAGTACTTTAAACTCATACTATTAAAAATGGTACCAAATTTTGACGTTATATTGAGAGGACTCAATCCAGATCACGTAACCCAATTAACTACATAGGTTAACACTTGTCAAGATTACGAACAAAGGCTTGATCTGATTTATTTTTTATTGAAGGTTTAGTTATGAAATTAAGCTCTTTTTTTTCGTACGAAGTTTCGAAGCCGTTCATTAGTTCGAGTTGGCCAACCAAACTACCTATATTTTCTTGTTGTTTTGCGCTAAGACTTTGGGTATTTAAACCACAGCCCTTTTTCTCCTTCAGCACTCAAAACATCCCAATTCTCAACCAACTCAAACTCATCTGCTCTTCTCTAAACTCACTTGTAGTTAGCCTTAAAGAAAATGGCATCCAAAGTCATGAATATAATGGCTCTAGTCATAGTTTTGGTAGCCTTATTTTGGAATGAGGCTACAGCTCAATCAAATTGTATGACCACACTTGTTGGATTGGCCCCGTGTATGAATTATGTTACTGGAAATTCATCAACTCCAACCTCATCTTGCTGCACTGCCCTGTCCGGCGTTGTCCAATCCAATCCTCAATGTCTTTGCTCTTTGCTTAATGGTGGTGGTTCTGGTCTTGGTGTTGCCATAAATCAAACTCTTGCTCTAGCTTTACCTGGTGCTTGCAATGTACAAACTCCTCCAGTTAGCCAGTGCAATGGTAAATTTGCATTCCTTAAATCTTTTATGCCAATCGCACTACATAACGCGCATACCTCATTAGGATTTACCTTCTTTATATACACTGACAATGTATTGAATTTTTACACTGCCTTCCACGTTACTTATTCCACTTAAATTGACGATTAAGTATTGTTATTTTTTAGGTGACCTGATTGTGTAAATTTAAATTATTTTTTTTATTGACTTTTATGCATTTGAAAAAACAGCAGCCAATGGACCAAGTGCTTCAGTGCCAGCTGCAAGTTCCCCTTCAGGTTCTCCTGCCCCAACTGATTCATCTGATGAAACACCTGATCAAACCCCAGCAACTCCATCAGGATCAGGTAATTCTAGTATTCCATCAGTTGTACACTAGCAGATTGAAAAAGTAAAAAAAGAACAGAAAGAAATTCGTTATTCTCTATTTATCTGATCATTAAAGTACCATTAAAAGTGGAACACTAATATTATTTGTTGCAGGTTCAACAGGATCTAAGACAAATACCTCACCAAATGGATCCTCAAATGCAGGAAGCAACATGAAAATTTCTTTCAGTTTAATGGGATTCTTACTCTTCATTGCATCAACTGCTTTGGCTCTCCCTGGATTTTGAAGGAGCTTCGCAGTTACTCTTATGTCACTTCTTTGCTATTGATCAAACACTGTTACAGAGAGGCCCTTTTTCTTGGTCTAGTGTGATTGGTTATAACTTAGCTATTTATTGTTTCTTTTTGTATGTTCGGAGAGCTCGTTGTAGTTTTGTACCATCATTTGTTTTGGATATAATAATCATCTTTGTGAATTGTGATCACTTGTAAACGGACCCTGTTCTCTGCATCTCTATGTCCTGTTTTTTCTTTTTCATGATTTGTTTGTATGAGGTCGAAAGCATCAAATTTTACAGTATGAATTTGAAAGGATGAATTTAAAAAGATGCCTACCAAAGTAAACTATAATCTCTATAGAATAGTCATAAGACAGGTGATGCCTAGTACCGGGTTGAATGTTAGGCCGCAAAAATTTAACACATTCACAAAATAAGTATCCATAGAAATGTTGATGCAAAGATGGATATGTGGTACTACAAGATTGGATAAGATTAGAAATGATTACATTTCAAGTAGCATACATCGTGGATAAGATGAGAAAAATATCACTTAAGATGGTTTGGTCATGTCATTTGTCAACCTGCGGATGTATCAGTCTGTAGGTGTGAAACTATAGGGAGTATGAGTTTAAAAAGATGTGGTAGACATGGGCGGATGTAGCCTTCACCTACGGGATCATATGAACCCATAACTTTCAATATGGGGTATAGATATATATATGTAAAAACCTACTAAAATATCAACAAATATTAGATTTGAACCCATAATTTTAATGATATAATTAATTCAGTGCAAAATTAAACTCATTAAATTTTAATTCTGAATCCGCCTCTGGTGGTAGACCGAAAATCACTTGGAAGAAATTTGTAATCGATAATTTCTAAGGGTCCATGCAGACTTGGCAAAATATAGGACACGGATGGAAGAAAAAAAATTATATATAGTTAGAATTTGTTTTAGAAGTTAGCATTTTTACTCTAGAACTTATACTCTTCGGAGTGGTTCAACCTTTCGTAGATTTATACTTTAAGAGCATATACATATTTTTGTATATATTTCAAAGATTTATGGAATATGATTACTAAGGATTCATATCGCCGATCCCAGCTGATTTGAGACTGAAGTGTAATTATTATTGTAGTAGGATATAAGATAAGAATACATGTATTAATAATACCTGAATTAGACTATTTATAGACAAAAATATCCTTGATTAGTGTAGTATTTCTTGTATAACAGTTCATTAGGAATCACCACATAATAATTCCTTCATTATAATTAATTACCACATAAATATTATTTGCATTATAATATGTTAATATGTTAACCAAACGACCTTCTAAGTGAAAAAGCTTAGTATTCCGGTTGTAAAATTACTTTTAAGTTAAAGGGAGAAAAAGCTACAGATTGTAATGTTGCAAGAGAAAGTAAACTTAATAATAAAAGGAAAAAAAGACAAAGAAAAGTGACAACCACAATCATTGACACTTCTATAAGTAGTACACATAGACATAACTTATAGAATTCAGCAAAGGCAAACAAATTCAGCTATCTTTCTGTGTCAATTAGACCACCTATTACCTAAGCACTACCAACTGTAAAATGACCTATATATTTTTTGATTGGCACAGTTCTTTCCTTGTTGCAACCAAGCCTACCTGTTCCATTATATATTTCTATTCTACAATAATAACTGGCGTCTCTCGCTATATCGTTTGAACAATGAATCAAACTTTCCCTTTCTTTCTTTTATTATCAATAGTCTAGAACCAATTAGTTCTCGACTATGGAGATTTATATTTCAATTTGGTAAAGTTGGACACCCACAATATCAAGTGATGCAGTCTCTAAATCTCAAGTTTCAGTATAAATTCACAGCAGAGTCATGCCAGTAATTCCATGCCCTTGAATCTTGATCAACTAACTAGCATAAATATTAGAGATTAAAATTATCCAAAACATACAAATTTCACTAAATGGCTTCAAAAGGAATTGAGACCGGCCTGACTCTAGCCGTGGTGCTCATGCTCATGCAATGGAACGGAGTCAGAGCACAATCAGGCTGCACAACTGCACTAGTGAGCTTGTCCCCGTGTCTAAATTATGTTACTGGAAACACAACAACGCCATCATCGTCGTGTTGCTCTCAGCTATCAAGGGTCGTGGCATCACAGCCAAGGTGTCTTTGCTCCGTGCTAAATGGTGGTGACTCCTCTTTTGGTGTTTCTATTAACCAAACTCTTGCTGTTGCACTTCCTAGTGCATGCAATGTGCAAACTCCTCCCGTTAGCCGCTGCAATGGTATGCATATATATGTTTCTCTAAGTAACAGTTACACAATAGAATTTTCATACTATCAAACCGCTTAAATGATAACTAAAGGTAACTGTACAGCTGATATTGTAAAAACTATTTAAAGCTTACATTGACATGACATTCAATCGTTTTCTATACTTTACAGCTGGAGCAAATGGACCAGCAGCTGATAGTCCTCCAGCGGACTCTTCTAAAGAATCACCAGATGGGAAATCTGAACCAGACATTCCTTCAGGTATATATATCCTTTTTCTTTTTGTTCCTGTCAGAAGTGCATTTTGAAATTTTATTCAGGGACTGACCATTAATTTAATTAATCCATGAAAAAAGCAGGTACAGGGTCGAAGACTACTGGTGGGAATACATCTAGTGGAAGCGCTGTGGAACTGCCGTTTCATATCGCAGCTACTTCGATTTTCATTGTTGCATTCGGTGCTTTTGCATCAACTTTCCTCTAGATTCATAAATTGTTTGGGAGTTTTGAACATTCTATGTTGTTTTCCACGTGTGATGATTTTTGATTTTGTCCTATTTGCCCAAATTAAAGTTGTAGTACCAGCGTGCCATGTATAAGTGCATGCCTTGTATTGTGTCTACACTTACTATGAGTTATTCATTGAAGTCTTGGGTAGTCAATATATTCTAGCTCATTGTCATACTCTAAATGCTCATTTTCGGTCTATTTATTTTTTTCCTCTTTTACCTTCACTTTCTTTAATTTTTCGGTTGTTGCTGATTGTAATTAGTTGATCCTTGGAAAGGCCTTTGCATAACAAAAAAGAATAAAACCGCACTCAGCTACAATGGAAACAGAAGTTTTCATGAATTAAGAGTCTAAAAAAGCAGAGAGGAAATGAAGGACGGAGCAGATAAAGAATGAATTAGAGATTCATAAGGAGTTATCTGCCCCTCTTGTATTAGTTCAAGTTTGAACGTTCAAATGAACATAATGATACCTTCTTACTTTTGGTTGAGAAAAGAACAAAGAAAGAAGGAATGAAACAGAGAAACTACGGCCTCATTTGTTTTTATTAAGATTAAGACATATGAATCTAAATATACATCCGAATATTAATATGTGTATTAAGATTAAAACAACTGAATCTGAATACACATATGAATATTAAGATTTGAATACTGAATAATTAAGACTGTTTGTTTTCTCTACATCTCAATGTGTAAATATTGTCTTTATCTAAAAATTAATAAGTATAAATTCAAATCAAATAGTACTATTTAATTTAATACTATATTAATAAAATATTTGTTAAAAATTATATAGTGGTTAGTGGTTATGATGGCTAACACTAGTGGTTGTGGGTGCCGACTTGATAGTAGGTGTGGTGGTGTTGGTTGATAGTAATAATTATGTGTGGTAGATGGTGGAAGACAATAGTAGTTAACAATGGTTTTGATGGTGGTGGTGACTCTATTTTAGACAATAGTAGTTAAAAGTCTAGGAGTAATAGTGAAATTTCTTTTTTACAAAAATTATTGAATATATAACATCTTAACGATAACAAGACTCAATTTTAGATCTCAATCATTAATATTGATTTATCTCTGTTTGGTACACACTTCCGTTTTTGGTCTAATGCTACAAAGCAATGTTCGTTGCCACATTCAGAAACGGAATTTTGGATTCCTATGGCGGACATCAAATGAGTTGATTCCCCTTTACTACTTTGGGCAAACTTTAGATTTAAGCAGGACATGAAAATTCATTAATTTCTTCGTAAAGGAGAATGTCCAAATCATAAAAGGCCAAAAGACGATTTTGGCTTTGATTTTAACCCGTGAACACAAAATGTGATATTGACCTTTGCAGCTATCCTTGAGACGAGGAAACAAAAGAGTGGTCCTTGACCATCACAAAACCATGGACCATAGCAAATGCCGACATGTGTGTCTATCCTTCATTTTTTAAGTCTCGTAGAGATCATCAAGAAATTAGTTGTTTACTAAGTTATGGTTATAAAGTAGGAAAAGTAGTTAACCCACATTCGTAATAACCCCATCTGCATGCATTAATTTATTTCCCAATCTTTTCCTTTATAAATATGACTTCTCTTGACTTTTCCACACCTATATCTCAATAAACCATTTAATATCTCTTTTCTTAATTATATATATATTAGCTTAGAAGCAATTTACAGAACAGTATTCAAGTAAAATGCAGATATCAGCGAGCACAATAAGTGCAATAATAGTTGTGGCAGTGGCTCTTCTTTCATTACATGTCATCAGCGCTCAATCGGATTGCGAACAGGTGGTTGTTGGGTTAGCTCCGTGCCTGCAATACATAGAAGGGAATGCCACGAGCCCGTCATCAGGATGCTGCACTCAGCTCGCCACTATAGTGAAGACGCAGCCTCAGTGCTTGTGTCACGTTTTGAATGGCGAGGGCTCATCCTTTGGAGTTAATATCAATCAGACACTTGCTTTGGCTCTTCCTACAGCTTGTAATGCCCACACTCCCTTTCTTACTCTATGTAAAGGTACGCTAAAGTTATCACTACTTCTTTAATTCCCAAACACTAGTCGTTTGACTAACTAAATTTTCTTAATATATTTGTCTTTAAAAAAAACTTGAAGTATTTATTACTTTCTCTGTCTCAATTTATGTAAAGTTGATTATACGGAGGGTAAGAAAGAAATATAAACCTTTGAAATTTGTATTCTAAAACACGCTTTAGATATTTATATGTCTATAAATTATTTTATTAAGGATAAAATGGATATTTTGAAGTCAATTAAATTACTTCCAAAACTAGAAAGGTAATATTCTTTTTAGGACAAACTAAAAAGTTTTTCCAAACACATCTTAACTACAATATCCGTTAAGGACGTTTACGGGTCGTTTGGTACATGAGATAAAAATAATAATTTTGGGATAAAGTTTGGGATTAAATTTATCTCATGTTTCATTTGGAATATTAGCTAATCTTGGGATTAACTTTTACACTAAAATTGTGGGATTAGTTATCCAATATAGAAGGCGGGATAACTAATCGCATGAGATATTCCACCCCATAGGATATTCTCGGATATCCCACCATTATACCAAACGATCCATAAGAGAAAAATAAATAACAACTTATAATTACTTTTATAATTAAAGTCATTCAATATCTTTAAGGGTCTGTTTGGAAAGCCTTGTGTAATTACTTGGTTGTGTAATTACTAGGATAGTAATTACACAGCCTGGTAATTACGTAGTATTGTAATTACAATGGCTTGTTTGTTTGTCATGGTGTAATTACAGTGTAATTACATGTGTCATGTTTGGTTGTACAAGTGTAATTATATAAATAAATAAATATTTTTTACTGTATGATAAATATTTATATGTATAATAGATATTAAATACTATTATATATTGAAATAAAAAAAAGGAATTGGAAAGGTTGCCTCACCAAATTCTTTACCGCCTTTTGAGAATTGGAGAGTGTAATTACCCTCTCCCAATTACACTCAATTCATCACCAATCAAATAATTACTTGGTTAAATAAATATGCCAAAGTGTATAATTACACCCAATTACACTTAATTTCAATTTCCATGTGGCTTTCCAAACAGGCTCTAAGGGGTAGCAACGTCTTTGCCCTTCTTTCTTTTTATTTTTTCCCGAAGCTTTTCATTTCCCTCTAATTATGACGAAAGATCATTGTTTTAATTTGTACTGTGAATATAAACATTTCAGCAACTTCCCCAACTGGTTCTCCGGAAATCTCTCCGTCCATTCCTTCAGGTACGAATACGAACAAATCGTGCACTGTAACAACTGCACTTTTTCCATGTTTTTTTTCCTGCACCAATTTCAACATTTATATAATGGGTGTGAGAATTATATACTTGTGAGCGCAGGAGACAGATATTCAAGATTTTCGCCAAATGGAGATTCATTGAAGCTGCAGCCATACTCTCTGTTATTTACCCTTAATGTAGCCACTTTGTCATATGTCACAATATTCAGCTCCATCTTATAAACTCAAGCTCACTCAACAAAAATACCGTCTTTAATTTTTGTCATAAAGAGAATCCTTGTAAGAAGGTTTTTGTCTATCTTAAATTTTTGCTTATGTAAAGATAGTTCATCACAAATTCGTCACAATCTTGTGATGGATGTCTCATCATTTTCTTTTTTGGCCAAGGCAGAGGATTTTAATTACTCTATTGAAATTAATATTTTCAGAAATATTGAACAAATTAAGCACTTTTTGAATGTATACAAGTACATTTCACACACTCCATGGCCTGATTCATTATATCTTGCAGACCGTAAATCATTGAGTACTTAATTTCCTACTTCCTAACTCTTAACTACTAGATGTTTGGTCTTTTCATATTGTTCTGGAAGGTTTAGATTTATTATAATTCTAAACTATATCCACCATATAAAAGCAACATTAAATTTTCCAGTAGAATAATTCTTGGACGTGTCATATGAAATAAGGGGACATGAAATATAGAGAACGTCTAAAAAGGACAAATTGAGGAATATTAGTGAAATAGTTAAATTATTAGGCCATCTCCAACTCCAAAAAAAAATCTATTTTATATTCTTCTCTCTTTTCAATATTATATTATTATCTTTTATTTAAATTTTATTTTCTTATTTATTATTAGCAACATCTAATATTTTATATTTGCACCATTTATTTTTTGAGATGATTATATATTTTTTGTACAATTAGAACTTATAATAAAATTAACTTATAATTTTATATAAAAATAATAAATACACAAAAATTAATTTATCAAAATTATACTCCAAAGTTAAGATGTAAAATTAGTATTATAAAGATATTACATAAACATAATTAGGTATATATAAAGAGATAAATTAAAAGAGTTAAATAATAAAAATAATAATAAAATAATAGAAAATAGTAACGGAGAAAATGAATAATGTCAGTGATACTGTTCATCCCCAGTTTGCAGCCAAAAATGCAGCAACATTGGAGTCAAATTTCTCCAAAAACTGACAGCGCTGTGGCAAATGAAGGCAGCGGAGATGGCCTTATAAGTGCATGTCATTTTACCGTCAATGTAGAAGCGGTCTTGGCATGATACATCATGCGTGCTATGTAAAAATGTTACGGAGTCGGAGTACCGTATAATAAACTTATTTTTGAAGATAAATCTATATGAGGTCCACTTATGAAATTAAGAAGGAAATTAAGCAAAACATAAATCAGTTGTCTGAAGTTTAGAACCCCATTATTAATTCCTTAATATATCAAGTATTATATTAATAGCTCAATAAAACCAGCACAGAAACATGATACTAGTTAACAAGATCTCCTTTCTTTGTGTGCACGAATCCCGTATGACAGTTAACAGAGAAGAAAGGACGAGAATAATAAGTGACCTCCCAACCAACCTCATGAACGTCATCAATGAGAGCTGTGAAATAGCGGACGGAGACGCAACGCCCAATGCCTCCCCTAGACGAGATGGGTCACCTCCTCCTCACTGCAGCATCACAAAATCTCTTGGTAAGGGAGCCTCCACATCTGTGGTGGAGGAGACGCCACCAGCTATAAAAACGCTCCTTGAGGCCTGGCTAACTGATACGCTAACCAGCATCCTTCATAAGCCCGCTCGTGACAAAGTTACTGAAAACGCGAGGACTTGCGTTATACAACCAGCAGACGAGCAGCACAACCAAGTCCCTTCTCCCCNAATGATGGAGGAAATGGAGAATGAGAACAAAGCACTCTGGAACCAGACGAGAGAACACCAAGAAAGGGTCGATAAGATACCGGGCGCCCCTAAGCTCCTGCCAAAGAGAGATGCCGGTCGGTTCGTCGAGCAGCCGTATAGTGATGACGCCGCTCCACATGCCATATCAAAAACCTTTAAAATGCCGCCTTACCTGAAATTATATGATGGAACGAACGACCCCGAAGACCATGTGACTCACTATGTCACCGCCGTGAAAGGTAATGATCTCGCCAAGGAACAAGTATCCTCCATTTTGTTGAAAACATTCGGTGAGACCCTCATGGGAGGAGCATTGACATGGTATTTACAACTATCTGCACGCCCCATTGAAACTTTTGAAGAGATGGCATACAAGTTTATAATGGCCCATGCTGGGGCCAAGAAAGCTGAAGCAAGAGTGAACGGCATATTTGCCATCAAACTTTCCCCGGGAGAGGGACTGAGGGACTTCCTCGCCCGTTTCAATCGAGTAAGGATGACCCTGCCGAACGTTTCAGAAGGGATGGCAATCGCAGCCTTCCAGAATGGTTGAGCAGGAACGGGTCGAGGGCGACTAGGAATGTTACACTCCATGTGTTCGTACGTGAAAGTACGCGATAAGTAAATTGATAGAAGCTCGTAAATGAGATGGTACATCCCGCATTTTGGTATGTTACAATTTCGTCGTAAGCTAATCGACGTAAGTTCGAGAATGAGATTATTTTGAGATTATAAGCATTATGCTATTTCAAACATGCGATGAGTAAATTCGTGAAGGTGAGAAGGTAAGCAAATCAAAGAAAATGAATTTTCGTCAAAGTTTAACATGTTGGGATAAAATACGGCCCGAGCTAAAATACCCGGTATTTATGGACTAGTACCATACAAGGTACCACATGACCATGAGTGAGGTATATAAGGTATGTTAAAAGTGAGTAGTATCTTAAGTAATTTGAGATAATTCTTAATTATGTAGTTAATCGGATAATTATTAATTTTAGTGGGAGATTAACTATTAATTAAGATGATTGGTGTTTAATTATTGGATAAGGATATCATCCTTAACGTGGCAGCAAGCCACCCAAATATATATATGACTCTTAAGTCATTATTGAGTAGGTGGCAAGACTAAAGGTAAAGGAACGTGGTTAAGCCACCATTCCATATTTAAAACATCTCTAACTGAAGAATCTGAAAGCAACATAAGTCATTATCTTAAGAATCATGAAAGCAACGTATTAGTCATTATCTTAAGAATCATGAAAGAAACGTATTAGTTTTAATCTCCATGGACCAGCAACGTTGGATGCTAAGCTTGCTAACGGATATTTTCCTACTTCGATCCGTCGTTACGTGTTTTCGCAAAAGACGTATGTTAGAGGAAATATCAAGAGAATCGGTTCAAGTATGTTAAGGCTATCCCTTCTTTTTTTTTTGGCATGATCCAAATGATACAAATGAAACGAGTAAAATACACAACTTCCATAAATGACTCTATTCATAGAAATACTAGGAGTGTCTATATTCTTGATTCCCCATGTGAATTATTATTATAGCTTGTGTTCATGGGTCTCAGAAAAATACGTATTTGATAAAGTTTATCCGACATGTATATTATTTTTATGACATTCCGAGAAATCTTATTAACGTATTTCTTATGCATTTCATGCATTTATACATGTACATTGACACATGACCAGATGGCGTTATATACGCGTATATATGTATATATATGTATATGGGATATGGAAAAAGGTTACAACGTTATATACGCACCACCACCTGATCAGCTGGTATACGTTGATGTTTTGCCCACAGTGGTCGAAATGATATGATGGGATGCCCTCAGAGACTTGATGATGTTATGAACACATATACCTATGCACGGTATGACATGTATACGCATATGCATGACAGTATAAAAATAAAATAATTCACAGAGTTATGCAGACGTACATGTCGAGTCTTTTACTCCATGTTTCTCTCATGTCTATTATTTACTGATTTTCATTCCTTACATACTTGGTACATTATTTGCACTGACATCCCTTTTGCCTGGGGATGCTGTGTTTCATGCCCGCATGTCTCGATAGACAGGTCGAGAGTCCTCCAAGTAGGCGATCAGCTCAGCAGAAGATGTTGGTGCACTCCATTTGCTCTGGAGTTGCTTGTTTGGTCAGTATGATTTTGATTTGTATTGTTTGTTATGACGGGGCTATGTCCTGACCTTTATGACAATTATGTATTCTTAGAGGCCTGTAGATAGATGTTATGTACATAAAAGATTGTATGGCCTTGTTGGCCTATGTTCAGTGTACGAGTGATTATTTTGGTCTTAGAGGCCCATATGTCTTATGTATAAGTTGGTATTACATGTTGCATTCTACTTATCTCACGGCAGCCTCTCCAGCTCAGTTATCTATGATAGTATAATACGAAAAGATACGTTATGTTGGTACTCGGTTGAGTAAGGTACAGGGTGCCCGTCGCGGCCCATCGGTTTGGGTCGTGACAAAAGTGGTATCAGAGCAGTTCTGTCCTAGAGAGTCTATAAGTCGTGTCTAGTAGAGTCTTGTTTATGGGTGTGTCATGCACCACACTTATAAGCAGGAGGCTACAAGACATTTAAGACTGTCACTCTTTCTTCTTACTCTAGATCGTGTGGTAGAGCTTAGTTGTAAGAACTCAATTTCTTAAACTATATCTTATTCATAATACGATGATACCTACATCCAGAAAGATGGTTGGTAAGAGATATAGCTGTGGAAGAGTTGAGTTAGAGGAACTCGAGTTTGCATCATTCCTATGATGGATAAATGTGAGGTCTTCAGCAGAACATGTGTGTACCTTACGTGTAAGCTTCTTGATAAGGATCCTTAAGACAAGAATATCTATCAACCTCTATGGTGAAAGGCAATGAGAGATTCAGAAGATAGATACAAACTTCAACAAGTAAAAGGAGCAAGATGAGAAGGGTACGAGGTACCCAGTTAATGAAGATTATCGGTATTTTCAACTCCGGCAGAAAAATATAAGCATTGTGACTTACCTTCAACAGTAACAGATGAATGTATAATTGGCCACACCCATCTCAGTTATACCCTATTGGAGGCTAACATGTGTAGTTTAAGAAAAGGACAGGATTTTAGGATCCGGCTGGGGTTAGAGTAACCCAAAATGGTAAATTGATTGTTTGTGTTAGTTGACATTTTCGAAGGATATTACAAAGGTGCTAATAGATCTCCTTGTGAGGCACCCAGATGGTGCACTCTAGAATATTATAATTAGATGTGAATATTAGCATGAAAAAAAAAAATAGAAGATAGGCACGGAAAGCCTGGAAGGGATAAATATTACCTTGGTGTGGCTCGCATCCCTAGTAGAGCGAGAACGTTAAGCAACCCGAAGAGCCACTGGATGGAGCAAAGGGGAGCTAAAAGCAAAATAATGTCTTGTTCGAGTTTTCAGAATAAAGTGATTAACATAAATGTTAGCGGGAAATAAGAAAAGAGTTAATGAAGC